CCCCAAAACCACAAAACCCCAAAACCCCAAAACCCCAAAACCCCTTGCAATCTTTATAAAATTGAACTTATAAAATTATCTTGAAAATGATGCACAAGCGATGTAGGCAACTTGCCTAAAATATAGCAAGGACTGTTGCAAAAGTGTCCCTCAGGGATATCAAAAAGATATCATTGTTTCAGGAATTTAGAAAGCTCAAATAAGTTTAAAGGTAAAAGAGAGAGAGTGACTAGTATTCAACATCAGAAGGAGCCCAGCGTTGAGGATAAGATCATTGAGTTCGCAACATCTATGCCTTCTGGACATACCCTTCCACATGACTTCAGACCTTTTGGCACTGCTCAGAAACCTTCTGCTCAGGACAAACTTTATGTTCTCAACAAATTTCTGCTGAAAAATTCTAATAAAAGTAAGGACTTTATGGGTTATTTTAGATGTTAAAAAGTTAGTTAGGATTTTCCAGAAATTTCAACAAGAGAAACAAAATAAAAATATTGCTGAGTTTGTCCCTAACTCGTTAAGAATGTTTAACCAAAGTAAGAATCCGGCCTTTGAACTGAGAAAGACGCCTTTCATCAACCGTATAAAGGTAGTTGAAGGATTTATTACAATAGGTGCCAAAAGTCCAGCCATTACATGATGGAGCTCTTACTAGAAACAACACTAAGCTCAATCTTAGGGTGAAGAATAAGTCTAACCAGAAGATGAGACTGAATCTTTCTCCGATTAAGAATCATTACAACAGCTTTAGGTCTTCTCGAAGAGGTTCTAACCAGGGGTCGAATTTTGGAAACTCCCATAGAAGCATGAACTTCAAGAAGTCACTGTATAACGCAGGGTAAGTTTTCCTACCTCATACCAGATCTTCAATGAGTCTAAAGCACAGGATCTTAAATGCTAATAGCAAGCAGGAATTTATGAAATTGTCGAAGTATTTTAGGAAGAATAGTTTTATGAGCCCTGACGAACCCTCTGACTATCCTTCATATCGAGAAATGCCACAGTTATAATATTTCAATATTTCCAAACAAAATTGGGGTTTTGGGGTTTTGGGGTTTTGGGGTTTTGGGG